CATTTCCACCAGAAGTGCCCAGTGAAAATTGTTAGGACCTATTGTTCCCAAGGAAATAGCTCTCATTGTAAGTAATGAAACTGACACACTAGTGCATCCTCCTTCATTCAGCAAATATTGATTCTGTGTTTTGCAAGGAATTGGTAATGTCAAAATTATTCTTGTCCTTATTCTTGAGAGCTTGACATCTTGAGGTTTGAGGAGGGGAGTGGGCAGCCACTCCTATACCCTTGACCAAAGAATGGCCCTCCTCCGTCGGGGAAGGTTGTCCTCTTTGACCCAGTATGCAGCTTCGGGAGGGGGGCACATAGAGTGGGGAGGGAGGATGGGGACACCCACCTAGCCAGCCAGATCAGCCAAAATCAACCCTGGTGATCAATGAGGTGACAGATGTCACAGTCAGGTCTCCCTCACATCCTCTTGTCCTTATTCTTAAGTTATGATTGTCCTTCTCTGGTGATGGGCAAGTCACTGGAAAGACATTTCTCTATGTGTTCTGCCATCCTGCTAGGTTCCTAACCTACTCCCCCCGCTGTATCTTTTCTTCTTCCCTTGAGAAGGGAATTCTTCTCTTGGTCTCCTGTAGAATGGTTCCCCCACGTTCATGAGCCCTTGGGGTCTCACTTCCTGTACCAAACACTCGGCAAACAAATGCAGTTCCCAGCCTTGGAGAGATTCTGTTAAATAAAATTTTCACTTTGGCTCATCCAAGTGTTTATGAAGTGTTAGAGCAGCCCTGGAGGAGACACCAGTTCTGCCTTAAGGGTCAAGACGTTTTCAAGGAAGGTAACACCTGGGCAACAGTCTTTTTATTGGCATTTTTCTCCACAGACTTCTCCTTAGGAGGGAGCACATGACTCGGCCTCAACCAGAGTTCTCTATTCCTTGGGCCCACCCTCAATGATTGGTCTAAGGGGTAGACACCTGCTGTACCTGATCCAAAGCAATATTCTCTCTGACATTTGACACTTGAGCAGAGGCGCAGAGAGGCAGCATGGAAGGTGAGCCACCTTCTGGGAGGACCATAGAGACAAGGTTCTCCAGCAGGAGCCTCTGAGGGAAGGCTCTGAGCAGACTAACGTTTCTCCTTCCCAAGGCCTGGATATGCTGCTGTCCTTCTGATTCTGTGAGCTTCCCCAGTTGCCTTCTCACAAATCCTCTTTTTGGGGGGAGAGGTCATAAGTTGGCTGCAGTCGGTTTCTATTGTTGCCAAGAGAAAAACTTTAATTGAAGAGTGAGTTGACATGCTCTAGTGGAAATCTAGACAATCAGAATCAGTTAAAAGAATCAGAGCCACCAGCTACTCTAGGAACAGCTGGTAAATACTGACAAATATTTAGTCTTTAATTTTTTAAATTATTTTTAAAAAATGTGATGGGGTGCCTGGCTGGCATAGTTAAGCACCTGCCTCTTGGTTTCACCTCAGGTCATGATCTCAGGGTCCTAGGATTGAGCCCCCTCTCCGGCTCCACACTCAGCATGAAGTCTGCTTGGCATTCTCTCTCCCCTCTCCCTTGGTCCCTCCTCCTCCCCACCACTGTCTGTCTCTTTCTCTCTAAAATAAATCTTAAAAAAATAAACAAAATAAAATAAAATGTTGTGATAATTACATCACACACGAAAATGCAGCTGAGCTGATTAGAATTCCATTTAGCATAGAACTGTTCCAAACACACAGGAAAACTCTGGTAACCTGGGTTTGATTTGGTAGAAATTATGGCACCATCAGCCACAAATCCCCAGAGGAATCATTCCTGGAAACTGTTAACCAGATCCATTCTGCATTGATTTTAAATAATTTCCATTTCAGAGGAAGGTCTTTATCTGACCTGATCCCCTAATATTGGGGGTAACTTACGATAGAGACAAAGAAAGAAAAGGTGTCTGGAATGTTGGGAATCAGCTTTCTCTACTCCTGTTTCCACGAGGGTTGATGGAATGTGCAAATCTCTTCCCCACTTGCTGAACTGAACACCCACACACGGTGGTCCTAGTACCTTTCCTACTAGTCCAGCTACGTGGGGTTTGCCAAGATAGCTGGGGACTTCTCTCAGCCTGAGCATTTTAGATTTAAGACATTTTGCATAAAATATTCATAATACTTGTGTCCCACCAGTCTTGCTTAAAATAGGGACTTCATGGATGTTGTCCCCATCCAGGAACACATCTTCCATGCAAACTGTCTGACCAGAACCGGGAAAACAGGTTAATTTGGATCAAGAAACAGTTAGGTGTCCTGGGAAAATGTCCTTGGATCTCATGTAACTAATGATATCTGAGTGTCAATGGGAAGATAGAGGCTTTGCCCCTTAGGGAACACCATAGGAGCCTGTTCCTTATCACATGTCTAACATGACAAGTCCTCTTTGGGGACTTGAGTCAAGAGTTGGGGATTAAATGGAACAGAATTACATTGAATGCTTCTTGAGAGGTCAAATGATGTGAAGTCTTAAAAGTGATCATTGAGCTGACATAAGAAGCATACCAAATCTTCTTTTGCCTAAAACACAAAAATCCTAGAAATACAAAAAACTTGGTGAAAGAAGGGATCCCAAGGGATCCCACATCGTATTGCTCCTCTTTTCAAATGCTACTTCAAGGCCCACTTCCCTCAGGAAATTATTTATCCAGTAGTTCATATAGGATATTTTTGGTTGAGAGGGGTCAGAAAGCTTAATAAAGGAAATTTATTGGCTCACAAACTTAAACAGTCCTGTGGCAAATTAAGGCTTCGGGACAGTTTGATTGGGACTCTAGTCTCTATGATTTTCTCAGTTCCTTGCCTATGTTGGCTTTTGCCCTCAAGTTGGCTTTTCTAACGTTGGCAAAAAGGCTCCAGCAGTTACAGGCTCAGATCTGCATTTAACACTATCCTGGGCAAGACAGAACTTTAATGTCCCAGGATCTCCCTTTAAAATCTTTCCAGTCATTCTGAGTGGGTGGACCAGCTCCCTGAAGACATGAGTCCATCTTGGACCCAATCAGTGAAGCCAGGAAATGGAAAGTACTGATTGGACTAACCTATGTCTCTTATTTCAGCCCTTGAGCTAGGAGTAGTTTCAGCTTCCTCAGTGCCTTATGGATCTCCAAATGCAAATTAAGGGTGGTTGTGTTAAGGAAGGGGGAAATGCCTGCTGGGGAAGCAACCAATAGGAGAGGATTGAATCTTCAGATTTACTGAAGTTCTGACTTTACACTCCTATTGTAATACATTCCATGTTCCTATTTGCTGTGGATTACATTTTTGTCTTTATTTCTTTCTTCTGTTTTATCCTGCCCTATAAGCATCTCAAACATATGGATGATACCCAGCCCTAACTATATAAACAAGCCAACACTTTTGTTGGATAACCTAAAAAAGAAAAAAAGAAAAATACTTGGAAGTCGACCTTATCCTCTGAAAACATAAGCTTGGGGTTTAATTCTGACCTTTATGAAATTGTGGCGCTGGTTGCAGACCACTGTTTTCAGACAGGAAAAAAAAATTATTTTAGTTGTAGTCCAGGGAATGTCTCCAAAAATGGAGCTGGATAAACTTCATAGATGTTGGTATAACATATAATTTATCAATTTGCCTGCTGAAAACCACTTGTGGAAGTTCGGCTAATCACACTCTCTCTAAATTAATTACTCATCTAGGCGAGGTCTTATTTCTTTTTAGTCTGAGACAAGTATATAAGTAACAGCTATTTATAAAACATTTGAGTTGAATCATATGATGTCTAATATAACAAAACCTAAAAGCAACTCTTTGTTTTGTCTACATGTAAAACTTGAATCTCATGGATTTGATTCAGAGCTCAGGTCATCAACTGTTTTGCAGATTGGTTCTCTTATAGAACAAGGTACTGTAGCCATTGCTTGCAGACTAATTGCCAGTGGAATAGTCATGTCCTTTTCCACAATAGTATAACCACCAGCCCCCACTATCAAATCACAACCCAACACTACCACCATCAAAGTCGACCATCAACCACCACCACCATCATCCACATTGACCACCACTACACTACCACTACCACCACCATCAACATGAACCACCACCAGCATGACCATCATCAACATCAACCATTGACTGCCACCATCAGCACTACCACCAACACCACCATGAACACTAATCACTACCATCAATACCACTAGAATCAGCCATCACTATGCTCACCACTAACACTGATACCACCATCAGCATCAACTGCCATCACCACTATGAACGCAGGGCTTGTATTTTACATATTTATTTTTACTTTGAAAAATAAATTCATGTGCATGATTTCATTAGTTCTTATCTATTTTATAAGGTTGGCAGAACAGACATTATCATTCTCATTTTATCTGTGTGCAAACTAAGGTCCAGAGAAATGAGGTGGTGTGTTCAAGGACATCAAAGTGTCCTTGACTAGAGTTTGATTCTTCTGACTCCAGAACCAAAGCTCTTTTTCAATAGATGCCATGACCTCAATGAAAATGAATTTCTAACTTCTGTTATTAACAACCTTGGTTCTATAGTCAAGTGAGAACATCTAGAATGAATGGCTCTTTGAAACCATACAGCCCACGCCATGTGTTCTAGGTGAGAGCCACAAGTCATTCAAAGTTCATGTGACCCCCTGGAAGTTGAAAACTTGAATCCAGGGTGCTCGATTCCAAATTCAGTCGTCCTTCCATGACAAGAGGCTACTTTCACATATACCCTCAGGAATCTCCTAGATTCTCTGAGAACACTGAATGCTCCAAGTCCTTCCCCAGAACGCAAGCTTTCCTGGTGAAGGGTATGACCAGAAGCTGCCGCCCCTGCTGTCCTGTCTCAAAGTACCACAAAGCCTGAGAAGGAACGGGACGCTGGCTCCGGTCATACTCCCACTGTCCTAAGTGTCCCAGGGATGCTCTTCCAGCCCCATTCAAGGGCCTGACTCCTCTCTCAAGGTTCCAGGTAAACTCAAAGCTGCCTCCCCTGGTAGGAAGGTTGGGCCTCTTCTGTGGAGTTCAGTGTGCCTTGACTTTCAAGGGATCCCCTGGATTTCAGTTTGGCACTCACTGTTTTTATATTTTGGCCCCAGGCTGGCCTGGCTGGGCTGCAGGACTGCTCTGTTGCTGATGGTCAGTGCAGAGCATTCGGCCACCTTGCTCTGGAGACCTTTCTTTTTGAGTTCGGAGGTCAGATTGGAGTAGTAAATATCTTCCAAGGATTTATCGTTCTTTCTGAGGATGTTGCTGGCCAACCGGAAGAGGAAGATCACTCCGTAGATGCCAATGATGGTGAGAATGTACCAGGCGGCGCTGGTCCCATCTGGAAGTTTCAGGGCCCTGGTGGAGTTGGTGCCGCTTCTCCCCTCCATGTGGTCCCTCAGCAGGGAGCTGAGACCAGTGCTGGCCTGGGTTTGGTTGGGGGCTCCCTGAGGTGTCCACTTGGTCACTGAGAAACAGAGAGATCCAGATGAGACCCAGCATCCTGGGCTCAGGGCTGCCTGGCCAAGCCAATGATCAGTGAGAAACATGGGGGAGAGGAGGTACTGCTTCAAGGGGCTCTCTCTGTTGAATGGGCAGGAGTCTAACAACACATATATAAAGAGAGGTTTTTTGGGAGGACAGATACTAAATATGAATATATGAAAAAGTGAACTAACCATGGTATAGTGTGCAATCATGTGCATAAAAGAAGGGAGGATATGATATTTCCTCGAAGCTCATATATGCATAGAATATCTCTGGGAGAATACACAAGAAGTTGGTACCTATAGTTGCCCTTGGGGAAGAGAATTGAAGGATGAGACGTACTTTTCACTAGTGCCCTTTTGTACATTTCGTACCATGTATGTTTATCTTCAAAAAGGAGTTGATTTTAAAAGGAAAGGATATAAGTGGACACTTTCTCGGTCTCCTTGGAGAAGTGCCCCTGGGTAGTGACACTGTGTGCCCTTCCAAGGCCAGAAGATTAAAATCTTAATTGCTGTTTAATTCAAAACTGTTTTCTCTCCTCGAAGAGCCAGTGCACATGAAATGAAAGCCACAGAAATAGTACATAAAACTGTGAGACATTTTCTGATTGAACTTCACTAGCTCAAATCCCTGTTTCTCGCCCTCTGCAAACACAGAGGCGTTCAGATGTGTCATGGGATATAGCCCAGAGCCTGCTGCGTGGACCACAGCTTCTCCACAAATGCTATCTATCTGGCATTTGTTTGTTGCTAATTCATTTTACTAATGCAAGATGCAGAGAGGTTAGTATTTCTTTTTTATTATAGTTAATTGCTGGAATAAGCGGATGATCTTATTACTTTGAGATGAAGGGAGAAACAGTTTAAAAATAACTCTATAAACCAATGTGACAAAGCCTACATGAACAGATTTAATTGTATAATATTGGTCACCCATAACAAACAATACAATAATGAAGAATTTTATACCACTGTTGGTGGAAGGGCTTGACAACTTGAAGTATGGACAGGGAAAATTCCCATCATTATTAACAACAACAACTACAAAAAAGTCAACCCAACAAGGACATCATAAATCTCAATTAGAGCAAAAGAACACATGTTTATAAGCCCAGACCTTTTCAAGAGTTGTTATAGAATGATGTGATATGTTTGAATACATAGAGAATACACCCACGCAAGAACTACAGGACATTATATTATTTTAAAACCTGTCCATTTCCACTTGAAAGAATCTCACTATATTAATTACTGCAGTCCATTATTCTTTTCTTTAAAAAAAAAAAAAAGAATAAGTTGGTTGTATCTTAATGGATAGACATACCATGTAGAAAGACAAACATTTTCCTCTGTGCATTTTGCACTTATAATTTACTGATGGAAAATACAGCAGTCCTTCTAGAAGAGCCCATCCCTGTATCCACGCCAATTACTTACGTTCCATGAGGCAGTCTTTTCCTTGACTCTTGGGGAGGCAAGTTTAAGCGGTATGGACAGAGGAGATAAAAGGAGAAGTCTTCCCTGCAGGTGGTCACAGTTCTAATGAAGCCCGGCTGCCCAGAGGTTCCTGAGCAGGGAGTAACATGATACCCAGAGCGTTTTAAGGCAGTGCCAAATAGAAACTTCGCAGAGAAGATTCCGACTATCTTTCTCTAGTTCATCAGGGGATCACAATCGATCTGTCTGCTTTTGGCTCAGAATACAAAGCACTTCCTGGCTTACACGTGTTGAGAGGGTCTAAAGCAAAAGAATTTTTACAAACATGCTGGTACCAAGGAGTTTCCAGCTCTCCCGGGTCCCATCCAGGCCTGCAGGGCTGGGAGGCTTGCTGGAGGCTGGCTCATCGGCTCATAGCCTGGATGGTTCCTGGTTCCTGAACTCCCCTCTTCTGTACCTGTCCTGGGAGTGCCAGATGGTCAGGTGTGGTAGAGACCTGTTGTCATAGGGTCAGGAAACGCCAGGGTCAGGAGTCACCAGCTTCCTCTTGGACTGTCTCCCGGATGAGGAAATCCAGCCAGGAAGGCACAGGCATGGGGTTGGGGGTGGGACACACCCCCTCAGGGATCAGTAGGCCGATAGGCCAGGCTATGCGGAGTGGCACTTCCCTTCCCCACACTCCTGAGTCACAGCCCACACTGGAATCTAAGTACATTTAACCGGAAAGTGCTAGAATAATAAGAGGCTGAGAGAAAAGAAAAGCAGGGATCTTCGGCAGGTTCTGAGCAGCCAATGTTCCCAGCCCCACTCCTGAATCCTCACCAAGACTAGCACCTGCCAAACTTGTAAGGGTTGTTGGCTTTTAAGATGTAATTTGGTGGGAGCCTGGGTGGCACAGTCGTTGAACATCTGACTCTTGATTTCATCTTGGCTCATGATCTCGGGGTTGTGAGATCGAGCCCCGCATTGGGCCACATGCTCAGTGCGGAGTCTGCTTGTCCCTGTCTCTCTCTGCTCCTCCCCCACCTTGCATGCGCACTTTCTGTCTCAAATAAATAAATAAAATCTTTAAGCCTGGGTGGCTCAGTCAGTTAAGCCTCTGCCTTCAGCTCAGGTCACGATCCCAGGGTCCTGGGGTTGAGCCCCACATTGAGCTCCCTGCTCAGTGGGGAGCCTGCTTCCCCCTCTCCCTCTGCCCCTGCCGCTCCCCTTGCTTGTGCGTGCTCTCTCTCTGTCAAATACATAAATAAAATCTTTAAAAAACAAAAATTAAAAATTAACAAAATTAAAAAGTAAGATGTAATTTAATAAAATTGTCATCAACACGGGACTAGACAAGTAAATTATCAAATAGGCTGTATGATCTGCCGTTCCAGTCTTGGGCACGTATCTAGGAGAAATGGCACATACACCCACACAAAAAGTCGCATATGGATATTCACAGTGTTATAAGTCATGGCTGCAACAAGAAGACAGTCCAAATGTCTTGATGTCTCGATGAAGGGGTGAATAAAATACCGTCGATCCCTAGAATGGAGTATTACTTGACGGTGAAAAGGAATGGAGTGCTGACGCATGCTACAACACGGATGGAGCTTGAAAACGTTAAGCCAGGGTGCCTGGGAGGCTCACTTGGTTAAGCATCTGCCGTTGGCTCAGGTCATGATCCCGGAGTCCTGGGATTGAGTCTCGCATTGGGCTCCCTGCTCCTTCTCTCCTTTCATGCTCTCTCTCAGTCTCTCAAATAAATAAATAAAATCTTAAGAAGAAAAGGGAAGAAAACGTTAAGCCAGGTGAAGGAAGCCAGTCACAAAGAACAGTCTAGTGCGTGATTGCCTGTGTAGGAAACGTCCAGAACAGACAAACCTAGAAGGACAGGAAGTAGATTCGTGGTTTCCTGCAGTTGGGGTAGTGCTTGAGACCTGATAACTAAGGGTACAAGGTTTCCTTCAGGGACTTCAGGGTTCAAAAATTTGTCATGGTGCTGGTTCCACAACTCTTCTTTAGTGAATACACTAAAAGCCATTGAATTGTGCACTTTAAGTGGGTGAACTTTATGGGCTATGGATTCCGTTTCAATAACGTAACACAAGTGTACGAAAGAATACTATGGAGCCCAGAGCAAGAAATGCAGAGGCTATTGGTGTGCTGATGTGTAGAGCTCCCCCACATGCATGGGTCAATGAAAACTGTAAAGAAGACAGCAAGTTACCCGCCATGTAAGGCGGAGGGGGAGGGGCGCCTAGGGGCTCAGTGGGTTGAGCATCCAACTCTTGATTCCAGCTCAGGTCCTGATCTCAGGGTGATGGGATCAAGCCCCACCTTGGGCTCTGCACTCAGTGTGGAGTTTGCTTTAGACTATCTCTTCTCCTGCTGCTTCTCCCCCATCTTACCCACCCCCAGCTCGCTCTCTCCAAAATAAATAAATAAATAAATTTTTTTTAAAGAGTAGGGGGAAGTCACACAGATCTAGTTTGCGTGTACAGGCATTGGAAAGCTGCTTTAAGGATGCCAGAGAAAATAAGAACAGGAGTTACTCGGAGAAGAAGAGAATTCGGTGGATGGAGGGCAGGAGTCGGGGGGAGAATTCTCACTGTATATTCTTTACGAATCTGAAGAAGTTTAATCATGTCTGTGTGTTCCCTATTGCATAGCGAAAACATCCATGGACTAAATGAAACTCTTCATTCAACTTGTACTTCGACTCCTGCCATCTCTCTTTTTGTGGGGGGGTGGCTGGACCCACACTTCAGGCTCTGCCACACAAACAGGGATTTGTCACACTGACCTGCAGAACTGAGAAGGGGCAGAAAGGAGGACCCCGGGTGACAGAGAGCAAAGGGTAGAACAGGGTCAGGAGTCAGGGCTCTGGTCCCAGCTGTGCCCTCGCTCTGTGACGCTGGGCAAGACCCTCCCCACCCTGGAGCCGGTTTCCTGGCCTGTGAGGGGAGGAACAGCGGGACCTGCTCCCCTCCCATCCCAGGAAGTCAGGAAGGAAGCCTGGGGAGGCGTGGGGAGGAGCTGCTCCCGCCCCCGTGGAGGTGTCTGAAGGGGAGGGCTGTGTGTCAGGTGAGGTCAGAAGGTTTCAGCATTCGGCCCAGGAGGACGACGGCATGGGGTTTGGGGAGCAAGAAGCTCCAGAAAAATGGGGGTGACAAAGAAAGGCAGCGTCCGGTCTCATCCCCACTGTACAAGGCGCACTATGGTGAGGGCATAGCTCTGCGCGAGGTGCTCTCAGCCCTGTTTTGGCTTCTCTAATCCTGGGAAGCAGCAGTGTTATTCCCCCTTAAAGGGGGGGAGGGACATTCTTTCATGCTCAGAGAAGTGACTTGCCCTAGTGTTGCACAGATCCCAGATTCCAGAGAGCAGAGGGCTGAAACCAAAGGCATTCTCCTCCCACACCCTGAATGTCACCTGTAGGCTGGACCCAGGGTCCCACGGATTCTCCCAGCTTGAACAGCAGGCTGTCCTTGCTGAGGCGTATCCATGACCTTGAAACCCGTCCTGTTGGCCAAAATGAAACTGTGATGTTAAAAGTCGGGAAAGCGGGTATCCTTCAGCTGAAGACAAGTAACTAAAGGAGGCAGAAGGAAGACTCCATGGGCTTGGTCGTAGATTGTCCACTGGCGCCCGGTTCACTTTTCGGGATGCATGTCTCACTTCGATGTAGACTGTACCCTGTTTCTTTCACATGGAAAACCCTGATAGACCGTGGGAAAATAAGGTTTAAGGTTTATATAGAAAACACAAATGTTATTTTAAAAAAAAGAATTCTATAGTTTCTCATGGCTGTGGCCACATGGTACCATCTGATTAAAAATGCCCTTCCTGGGGCTGGGGAGGGGGTGGTCGAGGTCATGGTCCCAGGGACTGGGCGGCTGCCTGCCTTATGATGCCCTGTGGATGACGCTCGCTAATGTCATTCCCGAATGCTTACATAACAGTGAAATGGAACAACCTGTACCACCACCACGGCCAAGAATTTTCTTCCTATTTGTGTATGTCTTTTCAGACCTTCTGGTTCAGTCTAGACAAAGTGCAATCAAGCAAAGCCATTCACCTGGTAACTATTTCTCTGAGCTTCAGTTCTGGGAGAGAGGGACCCCAATACCTTTTGGCCTCTATGACATTAGAGAATAAACCCTTCCAGAAAACCACAGCTTGTCTCCCTCCTTCCCTCCTTCTCTCTCTCCCTCCCATCCTCTCTCCTTCCTTTTCCTCCCTTCTTTCCCTTTTCTTTCCTTCCTTCCTTTTTTTTCTCTCTTCTTTTTGTTTCTCTACTAAAGAACCAGTCAGCTTAGAAGATGCCCAAATTGGGGGCAAAGGTAGTGAGGATGTAAATTTGACTAGCCAGGAAAAGAAGCAAAGTGTCCTTGCATTTCAGGATGTCAGAATTGGCACTTTTAAGAAAATGTCAATAAACACATGCTCATAACCACCCTTGACATTCTTTCTAAGGAATTTTTCTAGGGAAGGCAGAACTCACCAAACAATTCTGACTCCTTGCAGCGCAGAAGGACATTAAAAATGACAGTTTGGGAGTCCTGTGGATGGCAACCAAACTTCTCTCTTGCCTTGCCCCGGACAATGGACACTTGCAGGATCTCCCAACCAGGAGCGTAGATTCCTTTGCGGGAGGTACAAACTTCCAGAGGCCATTTAAAAGATGTTTCGCATATTTTAAAAATCTTTAACTTATATGTCATTCTTGCCTTTCCTTTTTAAAAAAAAATTTTTTTAAAGATTTATTTATTTGAGGGGTGCCTGGGCGACTCAGTAGGTTAAGCGTCTGCCTACCGCGCAGGTCATGATCCTGGAGTCCTGGGATTGAGTCCTGCATTGGGTTCCCTGCCCACTTCTCCCTCTCCCTCTGCCTGCCACTCCCCCTGTTTGTGCTTCTTCTCTCTCTCTCTCTGTCAAATAAATAAAATCTTTAAAAATAAATAAAGATTTATTTATTTGAGAGAGAGTGCACTCACAGTGGGGAGGAGCAGAGAGAGTCTTAAGCAGACTCAGAACTGAGCATGGAGTTCTAGGTGGGGCTTGATCCCAGGACCCTGAGATCCTCACCTGAGACAAAACCAAGAGTCAGTTGCTTAACTGAGTGCCCCACCCTTGTGCCCCTTGCCTTTCCTTTTTAATGTCATTGTCTCCACCATTTAGGGACATTTAATGTCATATCCTGTCTCCAGGGAGGTGCAGAGGGACACTCCCAGCCTTTGGAATTGGCAGTTCCAGGTTCTAGCTGGGCCTTTTTTACTTTCTAACTATGGGATTGTGGTCAAGTCACTTCCCCACCCCAAACCTCAGCTTTAAAACCAAGGATAATAAATTGTGATAACACGAATCACCCAACAAATCCAAGGTGCAAATACAGTCACACCTCATGTCTTCTCCCAACTAACTACCTGAGCTCCCAGTGCCTGGCTAGCAGGAAATCTCACATTTATTTCCCCTCTTAAGGCCTCAAGGTTGAGCAGGACTCTGGGATTTGGTCCAGAGTGGGTAGGGAGGACAGCCCAGTAACCCTCTGCTGCTGTTGCCTCCAGGTGCCACGGGGGGCGGGGGTCGCTGTTGAGCACTGGCTTGGGGCAGTCTTCAAAAGTTTTAAGAGCGTCCCCAGGAGACAAAGCTTCGGCTGGAGACACTTGCCTGTTGCTCAGTCACAGCACAGTTAAGGAGTCTCTGGAGTGGAAGCGGAGGAGTAGTGCCAAAACAACCAGCCCCCTGATGGGTTCCATGCTGGGGGTGGAGCCTGCTTGAGATTCTCTCTCTCCCTCTACCCCCACCCCCCCCCCCCCCCCGGGCGCCTGCTCTCTCTTAAAAAAAAAAAAAAAAAGTCTTCCATCCAGAGATGCAACTGGCTCAGCACAACGCATGAATCCTACTAAACCTTTAGTGATTAGAGAATGCTGTTTTTAAACTGCGGTGGAGTCTGGAGAAAGAAGACGGCTTCCAGGTTTTTTCTGGTGAAGCTAGACGATCAACGATAACCCAACAAAACCACCGTGATAAAAAGAAACCACAGACCAGCTTTACTCAGGGAGACAGATGTAAATATTCCAAATACGACGTTAGCTGACAGATCCCACAGCACATTCAGATAATAAATGTGACAAATAGGGGCAACTGGTGCAGTTACGGAAGAGTTGTCCCATATCAGGGAACCTACGAATGTGACTCACCACAAGAGGAAGTCCAAGGAAATGTGCTCATCTTCACAGATGATAGGTATTTGTTAAAGTCCAATTTCATCCTGATTTTTAAAGTCTCGATAAGTAAGAAGATAGCTAAGTCTCTAAAAATGCCAAGTTAAGTTAACCTCACGTCAGAAACGAGACTTGTGCTTGAGGGGAGAGATGCAACCTCCCGTCACCGCCACTGCCATTGAACATGGTGCTGGGGGAATCATCCGACTCAGACAAGAAGCATGAAGCCTGGACAGGAGGAAGCAAAAATTATTCTTTACTGCTTGGTTAGAAAAATGTAGAGAATCAATGGCAAAACCATGAGCAACGGTAGAATAATTCAATAAGCCGAGTGTGTACAAAATAAATAGTAAAAACAATATACAAGGATCTGTATTCACAGCACTCAGTAAATATAATTAAACAAAAGATTCTACTTTCAATAAGAACCGAAAATGGGGCACCTGGAGGCTCAACCAGTTAAGTGTCTGCTTGAGAGTCTCTCTCCCTCTCCCTCTGCTCTTCCCCCTGCTCGTGCTCTTTCTCTCTAGAATAAATAAATAAAATCTTAAAAAAAATAAGAACCAAAAAAGATAAAACACCCAAGAGCACAATAAATGTATACGATTCACACACAAAGAAAAATCTAAAAGACAGACAAGAAGGAAGATTTGACTAAATACAACAATTTCCTACACTTTGCTAGAAAGACTCACTTGTGTAAAGATGACAAATTCTTCCCAAAATAAATCTGTGGATTTAGTATTTAGTTTTTGTTGCCGTTCTGGTTTTGTTTTGTATTTCAGAAACACACCGGATGTCAAATGATCCCAGCCCACGTTCCATTGATTAATGATCTTATTCCTCTCTTCCTTTCCAAGACCGTATTTTATGCTTTTCAGACCCATTTTTTTTTCTCTCTCAGTACCAATGAAGAGAATTCCGGCTTGGAGTCTTGAAAAATCACAGCAAAAGTGCGGTAGAATTGAAGGGAGAAAGCGACCCTTTCCCCCAGCAGCCACAGAGGAGAG